TACTAATATATAATTCTCAATTAATTTTTAATTAATCAATTAATTAATTAGTTAAAGATCCTATTTGGTCTCATTTGATTTCTTCATTTCTCTTAAAGATATTCTTCAACCAAATTCCATTTCTCCAAATGAATTAGTAGTTTTTATGTAAAATTCCTTTTAAGAATTTACTTGCAACCTAGCTTTTTTACTTGATTCATTGATTTCTAATTCCATTGAACATGCTTGTGTCCCAACGTCTCAGGGGATATAATGTGCSTATATTTAGATTATTACAAGCCGTTGTTGTCCAAAAACACTAGTCTATTAGTCTTAGAACACAAAAGAAGAGGTTCAGSTTGAATGGTTCTTTTATCTTTTCTAAGATATCGTTCCTTTGTTTCTAAAATCCCTAAATCTCGCGAAAYATTTTCGATTGACTTTGATTTGGTGTACTACATCTGTACTACATACATTTGATTGCCTTTTTATACGTTTAGAAATGGTTAAATTTACACTGCACCGCGTGACGTTTGCTTCATATTCCTGTTTGGGACGCTTACCTTGCCATAATCCGACGATAATGTTTTACAAGGATTGATCGAGAGCAATATATCATCAATAAAACTCTGTTAAAACAAACAATAAAGAAAGAAAGTGATGAAACAAACAACATCATACAAGCTCAAAGTACGGCTCGGCACGGCGCAAATCAAATCTAAAATTTACATACGTGAACATTATCGCAAGAAAAACGATTCTTCAAAAGTGATTTTAGGTCTAATTCATTCTCTACTCCAAGAAGACTTGATTCTGTGGATCTTTTAGACATCATGCAATCTTTTCAGACAGAATACATAGTTGTGATTTGAACAGAAACCTTATATACAAATTTCTACAGCTTCCAGCCACGCAGATATTGAGAATATGCAGGCTAAAGGTCAAGTTTTAGTTATGCAAATGTATGTGTATCCCACTTCCTTGTTTGCAGGATAGCGGTGATTGGATGGCATTGTTTACAGAATGTCTCTCCGCTTTGTCTAGTGAAAGAATGTAATATTATGTAGGATCATGTAGTTATAATATAAAGGGACTTGAGGTTCTAATGTGGCATTCAAACTTAACTCTTAACTTAATTCGTACAAGCTTTAAACAATTTATGAAAAAAAAAACATTGTCAAAAGCTAAAATCTTTTCTACATTTTCATGTAATTACTTACAGTTTTATAAACTCAGACCTTTAATGGCGAAATGAAGTAAAAATCTCCCTTCTCAAGTTGAATTTGGCGCTAGAAAATTAAGCAGATACCACAAGGCATTCCTTGCTAATTTATCGTTTGAGAATGGTTGCGAGTATTTGATTGGTTTAGCCAACTTTCCCGCCATTTCTGACAAGTTGAAGATTAAYCTCACGCTGTGGACGCTTTGTTCTTTTGCTAGAATGGCTTGTAGAMTTAGATTCGGGGATGAATATTTCAAGAGAAAAACTGTACAGTATTTTGAGTTTGAGGAGCCTCGAGGCGAACTTGAATTTACACGTGTAAGTATTGATATAAGCTATAAGAGCTGGTTTTGTGTTGATCKCGGCGACATGATCGCCATGTCTTCGGTAAATCAATTCATTCATTCATTCATTCAAGCAACGAGTGCATTCCAGGCAACTGCTAAAGATGAGTCCAACACATTGTCTTATATCTCGCACTTATCCTCGTCCTATGAAAAGAGATAATTTTTAATGATATTAATAATCCTCTTAGTTGGAGTTTCCTTTGTACTGCATCTTATAGGAACAAAGCGTGTTTCATTTACATGAGAAAAGACTTACTTAACGACTTAAATCGAGCTTATAAA